TTGTTTTAGAAATCATACAACCCCAAGATCCATCACATGGTAAGTAATACACAGTCGGACTATCGAATGATAGATCACCTTCGATATATAAATAGTTTTTCTCTCACGACCCAACTACGTACAAGATTACATGAATATAGCAGCGGCTTGGGTTTTGAATTTAAATTAGTTTTGAGTTTGGGTAGAAATTGACGGGGGGTCTTAGTTTGGGTTGGAAAAACCCGCCCCCAAATAGTTGGGGTTGAAAATGGCCGTTTTTCCGCCACGTCAATGCCACGATATCGCTGACTCAGCAGCCGTTAAATCTCGAGCTAACACCGTCTTCTGTCGTGTTGAAATCGGCTAATTTTCATTAGTTTAGGTTTTGAATTTGAATTAGTTTTGAGTTTGGGTAGAAATTGACAGAGGGTCTTAGTTTGGGTTGGAAAAACCCGCCCCCAAATAGTTGGGGTTGAAAATGGCCGTTTTCCCGCATAGCACACCAACATATTCTTTTTATTTTGACTGTCATTTGAACTGATGAAACCCGACCTTATAGCCCCCTAACTAGACGTTACAACGCAAACTAATGCAAGTATCTGAAAAAAAAAAGGCAGATGTTGAAATTTAACCGCTTAGTTAAAAACATTTTCTTAAGAAAAAAATTCCAGACTTCAGCTGGCTGAGCCCAACAAAACAAAAAATGAGCTTAAGGCCCCAAATTTCACTTTTTTTTTTCCTATATAAGAAATAGAGTATATTACACTCTAGCACACTTTATTAAGGGTTTGATTGCGGTTGTTAGCTGTTGGTTACAGTTGTTAGCGGTTGCTACCAATTGTAGAAACCGCTCCATACAAAATCCCAACCCCTCCCGTCCTGCCATAACTCTCGTGCCATCACAACCTCATAATTAGTTGGGATTGCGCCTGATTCCGAATCCAAAAGAGGTTTGCCCGACAACCATGAATCAACCCAAAATCTTATCTGTTTCCCATCACCCATCACCCATCACTCAGCTCAAACCCCTCATAACCACTTCTCGGAGCCCAACACCAATACTCCTCCACGTCGACGACCAACTACTCTTCGCAACCAGCCACCGTGTGTCGTGAATTTTGTTAAAGCCTCATCATCTTCAAGTACAGCCCATGTCAAAGAAGCCCAAGAAGAGCCCAAGTTACAGTCAAAAACCTCAACGGTAACTTTGACCAAGAACAAGACAAGCTCACAAGGAAAGCGTGAGAGGAGTACGGCTGAGACACCTCACCAAATCCAGCTTTCAAATAGATTCGCATCCTTATCGGATATAGGGTAGAGAGAGCTGTTACATGACAGGTCATTGTGTTCTAGATTGCTCTCTTTGTTTCTATATAAGGCTAGTGCTTGTATTAGGGTTTTTAACCATTGAATATGAAAGTTTGAGTTTTTATCTTCTTCTCTGAGTAAAAGTAATGGCTTGTATAAGTTGGAGAATCCTCAATTCTTGGCTTTCTATTCATCACGACAACAGATCACAAGTGATGTTATTTGGCACAAGAGATTGGGACATCCTCATCATCAAGTCATGGAGCATCTTTCTACTATTAGTGCAATAAAGTTCAATAAGACTACTAAGTCAATGTGTGAAGCCTGTCAGATGGGGAAGACAAGCAGGCTACCGTTTTCAAGATCAGAGTTTCAAGCTAGCAGTGTTCTTGAGAGAGTACACAGTGATGTTTGGGGACCTTCACTTGTACCTTCAGTTCAGGGTTTCAGATATTACGTTGTATTTATAGACAATTACTCGAGATTCTGTTGGTTATATCCTATTAAAATGAAATCTGAAGTTTTTCTCACTTTTAAAAGCTTTCAATCCTTGGTGGAAAATCAGTTCAACAAGAGAATCAAGATCTTCCAGAGTGATGGAGGAGGATAATTTGTCAATAAATCGATGCAAAATCATTTTTCAGAGTGTGGCATTCAACATTACATTGCTTGTCCACATACACCACAACAAAATGGTATTGCAGAAAGAAAACATAGACACCTAATGGAACTAGGTATGTCAATGCTTTTCCACAGTCATTTACCACAAAGCCTTTGGGTTGATGCTATATTTACTGCAAACTTCTTGAGCAATCTGCTTCCTACATCTATTCATGACAAGATGCATAGTCCTTTTGAAGTTCTGAATGGTATTCAACCAGTGTATACTGCCCTAAGAGTGTTTGGCAGTGCTTGCTACCCATATCTGAAACCTTACAGTCATAACAAGTTTGATCCCAAGTCATTGCTATGTGTGTTTCTTGGGTATACTGAAAGGTATAAAGGGTATAGGTGTCTTCACCCTCCTACTGGTCGGGTATACATCAGTAGGCATGTTCTATTTGATGAAAACAGTTTCCCATATGAGGAGACTTACAGACATTTTATCTCCAAAGCTGAGACACCTCTGTTGCAGGCTTGGTTTCAGGGACAGTCGCAACAGCGATTAGATATTGAGCAGGAAGCACCAGTTATGGAGGAATTGCTGACAAGTAAAAGTCAACAAGAAGAAGTCTCCACAAGCTCTGCAGTATCAAACCAGGAAGTCTCAGATTCTCAAGACTTTTCTCTGCAACAGTCAGAAAATGTTACTCAAGAGAATTCACAAGCTGATTCTTCTCAGACTGAAGAAGATCAAGTAGTCAACACTCACAATATGGTGACTAGAGGCAAAGATGGCATAAGAAAACCTAATCTAAGGTATGTCTTATATGTTGCCAAGGGCTTACCAGAAGAACCTAAAACAGTTCAAGAAGCGTTGAATCATCCAGGGTGGACAGCAGCATGTGAGGAAGAAATTGAAACATGTCATAGAACCAACACCTGGAGCCTAGTTCCCAAGCCTACTGGTGTCAATTTACTGGGTTGCAGGTGGATATTTAAAACAAAAATTAATGCTGATGGAACTTTGGATAAGTTAAGATCAAGACTGGTTGCAAAAGGTTATGAACAAGAAGAAGGAATTGATTTTTTGGAGACTTACAGTCCAGTGGTGAGAACAGCAACAGTGAGAATGGTTTTACATACTGCAGTTATAGAAAGATGGGACATTAAACAGTTGGATGTCAAGAATGCCTTCTTGCATGGTGATTTACAAGAAACAGTGTATATGAGACAGCCTCCTGGTTTTGAAGACAAGGAGAAACCAGATCATGTTTGCTTGCTCCACAAAGCTATTTATGGCCTACAGCAGGCTCCAAGAGCTTGGTTCGACAAGTTCAGCTCCTACTTGATAGAATTTGGGTTTATGTGCAGCAAAAGAGACCCTTCTCTTTTTATCTATCAACAAGAAAGAAGTGTTATGCTATTGCTACTCTATGTTGATGATATGGTTTTAACAGGGAATGACTCAAGTCTGATAAAAAGGCTCCTAGACAAGCTCAATGAGAAGTTTATGATGAAAGATATGGGACCTCTCAAGTACTTTCTGGGGATTCAAGCAGAATTCACTCCAAAGGGACTTTTTCTAAACCAAGAGAAGTATGCTCTGGATCTTCTGCAAAATGCAGGAATGATGGATTGTGCTCCTATGCCTACTCCTCTGCCAGTCCAAATTGATAGAATGCCTCACCAAAGAGAAGTGTTTCAGAATCCTACTTACTTTAGAAGTCTTGCAGGTAAACTACAGTACCTGACTTTAACTAGACCAGATATACAATATGCTGTGAATCTCATATGTCAAAAGATGCATCAACCATCAGTGTCAGATTTTAACCTCTTGAAGAGAGTGTTAAGATACTTGAAAGGAACTGTGAAGATGGGACTCTCCTTTACTTCAGAAACAGATTCAACTCTCAGATCATACTGTGATAGTGATCATGCTGGTTGTAAAGAGACTAGAAGGTCAACTGGAGGATTTTGCACGTTTCTGGGTTCAAATATCATCTCATGGTCTGCTAAACGTCAGCCTACAGTTGCCAGATCCTCAACTGAAGCAGAGTACAGAACACTTTCAGATACGGCTGCAGAATTATCTTGGATCACTGAACTTCTGAAAGAGATAGGCCTGCCTCAAGAGAAACCACCAGAAATATACTGTGACAACCTCTCTGCAGTGTATTTGTCAGCTAATCCGGTTCTTCATATAAGAAGCAAGCACTTTGCAACACATTTTCATTTTGCCAGAGAGATGGTTGCTATGGGAACTTTGGTCATTGAACATATACCAGCTCATCTTCAGATTGCAGACATTTCCACGAAGCCTCTGCCTCAATCAAGTTTTATATCCTTAAGATTCAAACTCGGTGTGGATTATTCACCCACCTCGAGTTTGCGGGGGAATGTTAAAGCCTCATCATCTTCAAGTACAACCCATGTCAAAGAAGCCCAAGAAGAGCCCAAGTTACAGTCAAAAACCTCAACGGTAACTTTGACCAAGAACAAGACAAGCTCACAAGGAAAGCGTGAGAGGAGTACGGCTGAGACACCTCACCAAATCCAGCTTTCAAATAGATTCGCATCCTTATCGGATCTAGGGTAGAGAGAGCTGTCACATGACAGGTCATTGTGTTCTAGATTGTTCTCTTTGTTTCTATATAAGGCTAGTGCTTGTATTAGGGTTTTTAACCATTGAATATGAAAGTTTGAGTTTTTATCTTCTTCTCCGAGTAAAACTACAAATTTCACCAATTCTGTATTTACTTCGTAACACTCTACTCCACAGGCTAACCCGATCATTTAATAATCGCCACCCCACCTTAGCTATGAGAGCTTTGTTCATATCCTATGCACGTCGGATACCCAAACCACATTCTTTTTTTGGTAAACTCACACTCTTCCACGCTACTACGTGTTGCTTTTTTTTGCAGCTGAACTTCCCCATAAAAAAGATCTTGAGAGATTTTATCCAGTCTCTTGAGAGTAGACTTTGGCAAAATAATGGTACTCATCGAATATACCGAAATGGCTGTTAAGACTGCTTTCGTGAGTATCAATCTCCCTACAAAAGTCAAAAGTTTTTTCCCTCCAGCCCGACAGTCTAGCATTCTATTCAGCCTTTTATATATATTAAATTTCGATCAGACTTTAAATAAATAGAAAAAGACAGTAAGAGTTTGTAGAAGCTCATGGTTCCCACGTTTTTGACTCGGCCATACATCTCTTTCTTCTCTCCATACTGAATTTTGAACGAAAGTTTGTAATCCTTCTTTCTTCTTCCTTCTAGACTCCTAGGTGATATGCTTGTTAATCCAGTGGAATTCTCATTTCTTTCACTGAATTTGTTGTAAAAAACCCAGGTTCTAGAATATGAATTTAAAGAGGCCGTTTCCAGGAATGTGGCGGTTTCCTACAAATCCCGAGATTTGTTGCATCTACAGAGTCCCAGACTGTCCGCGTAGCGTAAATCCAGAAGCATATACACCTCAATTACTCCTCATTGGACCTCTTAATCATTCTTTAAAATCTCAAGCTTTCAAATCTCCTGGAGATGTCACATATACAATGTCAACGGGATACTTAAACATGGAAGAGTGTAAGAAGATTTACTTAGCGGAATTCACACGAAGGGTTGTTGGAGGGGAAAATACCATTAAAGTATTTATGAGAATGATCGAAGAAGACGAAGATAGAATCAGGGAAAGCTAGGGATGTAAACGGAGCGGATATCCGGTTTTTTTAAGATATCCGTATCCGTATCTGTATCCGCATTATTCGTCAATTTAGTATCCGTATCCGGATCCGGAATTCCGGATATCCGGTATCCGGATATTCGTTAAAAATCCGGATATCCGCGAATATCCGGAAATAGTGTTGTTTTTTTTGGACAAACCGGAAATAGTATTTTAAAATCTTAAATTCAATAATATCATACATAAAAAGTTTAAAAAAATTCACAAAATAGCTAGAAGTTGATTATATATACAAAACATTATAAAAACAAAGAATTTATTAAAGTAGCAAAAAGTTTAAAAGATTTAAGTGATGTTCTTAAAAAAAAAAGACATTAATCAACTTCTTAAATCCTTCTTAAAAATTTCTTTTTATTTTTTTGTCATATGATTTATTTATTAACATTAAAAATTAAATAAAAACAATTAAAAAGTTGGCTTCCAAACTTTTTTGGGCTTTAACACTTGAAAAATGGACTCATAAGGCTTTTTTTTTTTTTTTTTTTTTTTTTTTTTTTTGCCGGATATCCGTTATCCGGCCCAAATTTTTGGATTATCCGTATCTGGAATATCCGTCATTTTACTATCTGTATCCGTATCCGTTTTGCCAGATATCCGTTTTTTTGGAGCAAAAACCGGATACGGATACGGATATCCGCGGATAACGGATATAAATCTCAGGCCTAGGGAAAGCTATTCGGAATCAAGTGCTTGGATTGAATCTCAAGAGTTCGTCAAAATGATCCTACACGATTGTGTTTTTATACTAGAGCTCATTTTGAGGACTTTAGAAAGAGGACGGGAAAAAACAGGGGATCCTATCATGGACATGCCTTGTCTTGAAGTCATAGTCAAGTCAGATCTCATGTTGCTCGAGAACCAACTTCCGTATTTTATCCTCGAGAAACTCTTCGATCCAGTCGTCCCAAAATTCCAGAAATTAATCATCAATTACTTCAACTTCGGAGGTAAAATCGGAAACAAATCCAAATTTAGACATTTCACTGATCTGTTCAGGTGTGTGCGCGTTGAAACACTTCAAGGGCTTCCTCCAAGGAAATTCAAGCTGATAGAACATATGTATAACGCGGTTAAGCTACATAGCGGGGGAGTGAAATTTGAAGCTGTAGAAAACGAGTACTCGTTGTATGTGAGATTCGAGAATGGTTGTTTGAAGATGCCTTGTTTCGTGGTTCATGATCATGAAGAGAGGATATTGAGAAACATAATGGCGCTTGAAAATTGCCATTATCCTTACGAAGCACATGTTTGTACCTACATGATCTTCCTAGATTACCTCATTGACACGGAGAAAGACGTGGACATGCTTGTCGAGAAAGGTAACCCTTTTATCGTATAGGTCCATATCCATATGTGTATATTGATTTGTTTACGTTTTCGATTGTTTTTGCAAGGGATAATAAGAAACTGGATTGGGCAACACAGTTTGGTAGCAGAGATGGTGAACAAGCTTTGTGTGGGCATCATGGATAATGGCTCTTACTGTTCTGATACATCAGTCGAAGTCAACGCTTACTATTCAAGCCCATTCAATAGGTCACGCGCTGTCCTGAAGCGTGTTTATTTTGGTAACATGTGGATAGGGACAGCTACAGTCGCCGCCATGCTTCTATTGTTGATGACTCTTGTCCAAACGGTGGCTTCAATCATTCAGGTGAAGCAGAAATGATTTTTATACACGCCGCAACATTTTTCTCCAGTTTGTTTACGATTTTTTTTTTTTTCTTTTCGTGCAAATTGTTTCCGATTTTTAACTAATCCTGCAGATAAAATTTGACTTTTTGTCTTGTCTTATCTTTTCTGATTTCCCAAAATAAAATAAATATATTTTTGTCCTGAAAACATTGTGATTTTGAAGTTGTATTAATTTTTATTCTGTTAGTTGATTATATCTTGGGGCTATTTGTGGATAAGACTCGTTATGATAAGATTTAGATGATTTAAAGAGTTGTGATTTTCAGATATGATCGAACGAAAAGTTTGTACGTTGTGTAAAATCTTTGAATTTTGAAGGAAAACTAACATATTAAAAAAAGCTCAAACTTACATCTATATATATATTTTTGGAGTACACTTAGCAAATAAATCCTAGAATTGCTAAGTATTTACAAAAAATGCCATTATCATAAATGTTTATCTATTTATTAATATTACAAAATATTTTTGAAAAAATCTTTTAAAAACTATGGCTTCCAAATATAGTAACAAATTGATTTTGTTTCTAAATTTTCCTAAAACATCTCTACCTAATTTAAACATTATTGTATGATTCCTCTTTCACTTTTATATGATCTTATAGTAATTTATTTTGAATTTATATAAAATACATATAATTAATAAAATAATAAAAAATTTATGCATATAATGTGATTAAAGTTTTTTAAAACGGACATATATTACTCAATTGATGAAGAAAAAATATGTGTACAATGTCCCACATTGCTTAAAAAACTGGGCAATAGTTTAGAGTCATACTATAAAAAAGACCAAAATAATTATGAATACAAAACGGGGTATACCACGGGTGAAACCTAGAATTAAAGTAAAGATATAATTATATAATCTTAAATGCTAAACAAACCAAACAAATATAATTTAAAATTTAAAAATTTTAGTTTAAAAAAATCGACCCAGAATATATCGCGGGGTAATTTTTTTTTTGATACAAAATAATATCAAATTATTATAATAGTCCATGATTATAAATGTATGCCAATATTAATATTATATCATTTCTACACCTACAACTCTTCTAAGTACACATATTTCGACGATATTAATTATAATATAAAATAATTAAACGAATTTTTTTTATTTAATATCAATTTAAAAATCCAATAAATTATAAATTATTATATAAAATAAATAAAATACAATTTTGCCCCGCGGGTTAAATTCTAGTTGAAACATAAAAGTCCCTACAGTTTTTAAAGTCTAAACACTAATCGGCTCGCACATCAGTTAATTTACGAGTTATGACTGATTCTCCCTAAAAAAAGCTAATGAAATTTCAGACAAGAATCGTTTGCGGCATGGAAGAAAATCCTTGGCACAATGAACGAATCTTGACTTTAGATATGTCAAGAAAAGGGTTACATACTGTGTTTGCTTTATTGCCTCTTCGCTGTAACATGTAACCCATCACTAATCACACCAAACATTTTATTCTTTATCTTACTCGTGTGCACGTAATTTTATTTTATTATTGTATATAATTATTTAATTGTTTATTGCTTCTATTTGATAACTTCCATATAAACGGGTCTGATGCATCAACATTTGGAAATACTCTTATCTTGTTGACTAGGTATTATATGTTTTCAGTGACTGGACAAGCTAAACCCTCCCAATTTATTTTGATATGCTGACAAACTCTTATCACAATTTTCCATATTCATACTTGAAGCAATCTTTTTATGTAATCCCTTTTGCATTTACAAATGCCTAAACCCAATTTTCCCTCCAAAATTTTAACCTGACAAAACTCCATTTTTCTAAGAAACCAAAAAAAAATCATTTTCCTTGTGAAGAGTAAGCCTTCTTCAACTGCTCGTAGTTGTTTTTAGCTCCGTGGATTCCTTCTTTAAGTTCCTCGTACATTTTCACTGATGATTCTGCAAACTGGTTGAGTTGTCCAACAAATCCTTCCAAGCTTGTCCTAAACCGATCAAATCCCGGACCACAATCCTCCAATGTCTCATCTTGCAGCATTTGAGCTGTCAAATCGTTTTTGTTCTCACCAGACCGATGTTTCTTGGTGCGACTCTTCTCCTGACGTGGCAAGAACCTGGCAACATCAGAAGCAAGTGCTTTAATGGAGCCTGAAACCTCTTTGGTACGTAAAACTTCGAGCTTTTCTAGCCAGATTCCACAGGTTGCATAAATGGGAGGACCGTAGTTTCTCAAAGATGGTTGTGGCGCACGCCTTTTTCGTTTGGAGGATCGTTGTGGTAAGGCGACACATTTCACCAGCCACTCGTTTATCGCTTGAATATATGATTTCTGGCCTGTGATCCATTTTGTGAAGCTTGAGGCCAACGCGTTGAGTTCATCTTCAAGGTGAGATGTTACTTGTCTGTGCAACTCTGATTGCATGTTGAGTTTAATGTTTCCGCCTCTGTAACAGGCTTTGATTAACTGAAACTGAACCTTGTGGCATTCCAACATGACTTCCCACATACGACTCAACCTAATTCACATCCAAGAATAAATATAATGGTTCAGGTCAAATTTGAAATCATGAGTATACTGGAGCGAGTGACTTAACACATACCCTTCAATGAGTTCCTCAAGTTGAGGCTGGAGCTCGTTGTCGCGGAGTTCTTCAATCCGTCTTGATATTGAGTCAATCCTATGAATCGCCACTCTGATTCTGGAGTGAAGGTCTTTCACAACTGCACGTGTCTTGTCTATTCTTTTTGAACTTTTACCTTCTGATTCAAGTTCTCTCAAAATTCTGCACTTTTCGTCATACTCTCTCCGCACAGTCTGACTCCCCTGAAACCAATAAAAGTGAGAAAACAAATCACATACTTTCACTGCAATTTCTTGATTTTTTAAAATCTATTTACAGCACTATAAGTACCTTAACTTCATCATAGAGCTTCCGCTCCCATGCATACAGTCTGTCTAGCGTTGAGGCATGGCTTCCAGCAATCATGCAAATGTTTTCAAAGAGATTACTATTGAGTTCTTCCACATCATCAGAATTCATTGCTCCGAGAGGATTACGAGAAGATGAGGATCGTGAAGATTCAGTCCTATGCCAGGTCAAGTATTTCACTGAGTTCTGAGCAGGCTCTGCACAAACTCTTAGACTATAAACACTCCATACAATCAATCTAAAAAAGTTGACCCAAAATAGAAATAAGTTTAATTACCTTCTGGTACATCTTTGGGATCTTCCCCACAAGAGAGACATGTTTTGAACAGTGATGATGCACCGGAGCCACCTGCAAAAAGCAGAGATGTGTGATTCAACAAGTGTTTTTCCTTCAAATATGAATCACAACCAGTAATCAATCTAGATGCAGAGACACATTAGATTAACTAAGGTGGAATTTCCACATACATACGTGCAAGTAAAACCTTTAAGAGATAAAAATTATTACTTTCTTTTGATGGAACTATTGGACGGAAATGCAATTTATTGGCTTCAAGCATCCTAGGAACCTCTTTTCCAGTCTCTGATGCTTTAACAAAGAGCAACTCTATCTCTTTCATGCTTGACAAGAAGTCCCTGGGAGGAAGCTTGTTCTCTGTGTGATCTCCCTTGTTTGGTGTTTTGTTCACTGGAGTGGCTGCTAAAGGTGTCACTGGTGGTGATAACTCAGGAGTTTTACTTTTCTCAGCGTCTGAGAACTCCCTCTCAACTCCCTCTCGTTGAGGCAAAGCACTGTGATCACGGCGCACTCTATTGAAGTTTTCAAAGCTTCTAACAAGTGTATCACTTGTGGGCTCATCAAACTCATCATCATCCGAATCTCTGGACTCTTCCCTTTCTTGAAAAGAAAAGTCCTCACCATCATCTTCCACCTCTGGAGTTTCATCTTCCCCCTTCACAGATCTCGACACATGACCATTTCCAACATGAGAAGAAGAAAACTGGTTGTCAATTGGATGAGAAAGACCAAAATAATCCCAAGGTGCTTCAGGTGGCATGGAAGAAGATTCCTCAAATGGGGTTGATTCCATCTTTTCTATAGACCTGCTTCGTGGTATACTGGATGACGTTACAGTGGCAACAATAGAAACTGGTGGTTTCTCCTCCACTTTTTTTGAAGAAAACCCTCTGAATTTCATATGATTGACCTGGAACGGACTGGTACTAGGAGGCGAGGGAGGAGGAGAATACGTATCATGGTGGGAATGTGAAGCAGGTGGAGGAGAGTATGACAAATGAGAAACCGATTTCTCGATTAAAGCAAGAGGTTGTTCTGGTGTTGCACTAGTGGACGTGTACAAGGAAGATTCAACTGGAACTTCAGTCTCAGCAAATTTTCTGAGGGCAGTTCCGGTACTTTTAAGAGACTGAACGTATGAAACGTGAGCAGCTGCTAACAAACATCTTCCATCGAGTGCTTGTTGGACGAATTTTTTTCTTTCCCTACATAACTGTAAGGCTTTATCTTCATCTATTCTGGATGTTGATGCACCCATTGTCCAAGCTTACATGCACCAAAAAAACAAGTTACAGAATTAGATTTACAACCTGCAGAAACGCAATCGTACATAAATTAGACCAAGAAATAACACAAAACGGACAGAAATACTTGAATAGTTCCAAATCTAGAAAAGGAAACCTTCAAATTGAGAGGAATAATCATAAGGGCAATAATATGTTCCTTAGGACTCTAATTTAGAGTTCTTCTATTATGTGGTTTGGGAGATTCTTATAGATAGGAAGGAGGACCCATTTGCAAGATCCATCCTGCGAAATAGGCTTTGTGAGGGTTTATCAGTTTATAGCGAGGGAACTGTTTTCTGCATTTGGTTTGGTGATCTTTTTTTGTTATCTTGTTCTGGGTTATATTCTTATTAGTGATCCTTAACTCTAACAAAAACTACCACAAGAAACACAAAACCGATAAAATAGAACCTTAGATACTTTAAAGATTATCAAGTGGAGTAGATTTAGTGAAAGAGGTCTACGAAAAAAAACCAAAATGGCAGAGTTTCAGTGAGACTGTATTCTCGACATCAATGCACCAACCCCTAGCAGGATCCAATCGGAGATAACTAGAAGAGAAATTTAAGAAATAGCTAGTCATTTGTTCCACTAAATTATCTAATGCAAAGGTGTGAGTGAGAGTATCATTGTATTCATGTTGAATATGAGAGAAGAAACAATGCTCTTTATTATCAAATTGCATCAAGAAATAAACAAATGAAAAGTATGCATTGCAGGATAGTTGCTATTAGCTAGACATGATGATTCTCTCAAATCTCAAAACTCAATCCTCCGTATATAAGAAAAGAAAAAAAACAAAGTAAATCACAAGCAAACACAAAGAGGATACATAAATTCAAGGCAATGAACACAGAGATGAAACTCAACACCGATGAGTATTAAGAAACAAAAGGAACAAGCTTATGTTACTCCCAACACAAAACACAAAATCAATCATACATACCAAAAAAAAAAAACAACAACCTAAAAGCAACTATCAAACAACATTTAAAGAACAAGTTTCCACTTTGAAATCATAACACAATCTAACCTATTCTCTTACCCTAGTAACCTTTTTCGCTGTTACAAGTTCATCAAGCAAACCCCTTTTAAGAAAAAGAGTAAAACTTTCACAGAACCAAGTTGCAGTTGTATCAACCTATAGATGAGAAACAATCAGAATCACATAAAAATGACAGCTTTTATTGGTAATCGGAATCTAGGGCGAGAGAGAATATATGCAAGGAGAAGCATAAACAAAGTCATACCGCAGACAAAATACAAAACTGATTGAACAAATTAACAAGTTTTCTTAAGAGTAATCGAAAATCAAAACCTGAAAAGTGAACGAATTTGACAAAAAGGAGAGATTTTTATAGAAAGGTAAAGAAACCCAATTGAAATTGGACCATAACAGTAGAAGAAAACCTAGAAAAGGAAAGATTTTTCACACAAGTAGAAGAAACCCAGAAAAAGGCTATACCTAAGAGTCGAAGGAATTAAAGAGAGGTTCTTTGAGAGCTTTTGAGAGGATCAAACAAAACAAAACGTCTTCTTCTACAGGAGGCGAAGAAGAAGGAGAGAGGTGTGTGTGAGTCAGCAGCGAATCAGATGGGTAGAGAGAGAGAGAGAAGAGGAATCTTATGCGGAGGAGAAAAAGGAGATTGTGTGTGTATGTGTGTGAGTTACCAACATGCAATAAGCATTTGCTTGCTTGTAAAGATGATTTTGACGGGTGACTCCAAAAACGGTAACTTTCTCTTGCCGTCGTTATTCTAGTCCGGTCACTTTTTTACACTTTTTTTTTTGTCTTTTTAATTTTTTTAAGGATTCATTAGTTTATGACAAACATCCTTAATCTATGGTCTTAGTCAATTGCTTTATAAAAACCATTTTGTTATGTCAACTCACATTTATTAATATAAAAACGGTATAAGAAAAATAATCTATAGTGATACATTAAAAACCCATTAAAAAGAAACTCATTTTTTGAGTGAAACTAATCCTATAAAATTGATAGATACATAGAGAAAGAAAACCATTTAAGAGTTATTGGATTAATTTTTTTGAATTGTTTGAAGAATTTTTTGGACATGCTGGGGAAAGAATCTGACTGAAAACTCTAGGAATTTGTAGAAAATTATAAATTAGTTTTGATTGGATGAAATGGAGGAATAGTCAAAGGTGGCCAAATAATTAACTCAGAATGTTTTTGGGAACAAAGAAAAAAAAAACCAATGTGGCTCCTCATGTCAGTAGAATATAAAATATGGAAATATCAATGTAAGTTGAGCATAAAAATCCAAATACACTTCACGGGGTTAAGAAAATAGGGAAGAAGTCCATATGTAAGTAACTATTTTCGTTTCATTTCTTCTATCATGTTTCAATAGAAACAATCGAAGGATTAAAAAATGGGTAAGACCAGTTTTATACTAAGAAATCATTCGGATTCAAAGCATTGAAAAGGAAAAGCACAAGATGAATAAAAACAAAACGTATTACTTTCTTTGTTTTAAATTAGTTGTCGTTTTAGAAGTTAAATTTTGGTTTTAGATTAGTTGTCGTTTTCTATTTTCAATGCAGATGTTTGACGGATTTTTCAATTATACTTATATTCTTTAAGCTTATTTATTAACGATACTAAATAAAATAATACACTAATTAGGGATAAATTAGAAAAATTGAATGTTTTTTTTAATATGCGTGAAAAAATCTTAAACGACAACTAATTTAAAACGGAAAGAGTACTAAAAATCCGAGACCAAAACATTTTACACATAATTAGCTGTAACATGTAATATCATTAGTTAACCCTAATTAATTCTCCTAAATTCCAAAATTCCAAAACAAGTAGTTTTTTTTATTGAGGAAAAAAACTATTGAGGATGTAATTTGTAGTTATCATAAATAAAACATTCATAAAATAACATGTTACTTTGGGCATGACTTGTATATCAAATAACAAAATAATTATAAACGAAAAACATTGAACTAGAACAAGTTTTGATAAAATAATTATAAAACGCTAATAATTAAGTTTAATTGTTTAGTCATGTTTTGTATTTTAGTTATATTTTTAATACGTTACTGGTATATAACAAAATCACCTCTCCAAAATATGAAAACGAAAACAAATAATATACTATTTAAAATTATATTGATCTTTAATTTTTCACATGATGGTCAAACAAAATAAAACGTCAAATTTCAATTGATAAATTAGATGTCTACTTAAAAATAATATAACTTGTTAGAGAAAAACAAATTAAGGTTTTGACAAAAAAAAAAAAAGAAAAAAAAATTAAAGCATTCTTTTTTTTTTGAGAAATTGTTAAAAATGCCCCTTTTTCAATACCCCTTTTCAAAAATGCCCCATTTGAGAGTCCATTTTTAAGTTTGCCCTCTTTTAATTTTTAATGACCATTTTACCCTTATTTGAAACAAAATTAGGTCCACAAAATACAAAATATTTTTTGGCGGGAAAAGTGATCCCGTAATTTTCCCGTAAAAATTTTCCCCGCCAAAAATTTTTTTTTGCGGGAAAAGTGATTCCGCAATTTTTTTGGCGGGAAATTTTTTGGCGGGAAAAATTTACAAGGTATTTTAAAGGTTTTACGGAGTATTTACAAGTGTTTGCAAGGTTTTACAATGTATTTTAAAAGGTTTTACAAGGTACTTATAAGGTTTTACAAGGTACTTATAAGGTTTTATAAGGTATTTATAACTTGTAAAATCTTATAAGAAAGTTGTAAAACATTATATTCTTGTAAAACCTTATAAAATAGCTTGCAAAATCTTATAAGATCTTATAAATACCTGCAG